AGAGAGAGAGAGAGAGAGAGAGAACCCTATTTAATATCTGATTGTTGAGGCTGATTTGCTAGGACTTAAAGGACTGTGGCATACACACAAAGTTGTAATGGATTTCATAACTCTGTTTTTCTTTATTTCTTCCTTCGACATGGTGCGACTCTTACAGCCAGGCTTGTCCTGGACCTGGAAGAGGTTATTCCTGCTTCAGCCTCCAGAGTGCTTAGCTTACAGTGCTGTGACTCACACACTGTCCTCCCTCTCCTTCCTTTTCTCCCTCTCTCTCGCTCTCTCTCTTCTCCTCTCTCTCTCTCTCTCTCTCTCTCTCTCTCTCTCTCTCTCTCCTCACACTTTCTCTCTCTGAACGTCTCATGTAAACCAGGTTGTCCTAAAACTCTATTTAGCCATGAAGGATTTGAATTTCTGATCCTCCGGTCTTTCCTTCCCGAGTGCTAGTATTACAGCCATGTGCCACTAAGCCTGTGTTTTGTGGTGAAGGGGATCCATTCCAAGGCCTCTAAAGCCTCTTGTAAGATGGCATGTACTCCACCAATTCGACTTTATTGCCAGTCCTTGTCCTGAAATTTCTACTTTTTAAAAAAAGAGATTAATAGGAGCTAGAAGAATGGCTCAGCACATAAGAGCACTGGCTGCCCTTGCAGAGGACCTGGGTTCAGTTACTAGAACCCACATGGCAGCTAACAACCATCAGTTACTCTTGTTCCAGGGGATCTGGCACTTTCTTCTGGCCTCTGATGGCACTTCGTGAATGTGGTACACTTACAGACATGCATGCAAACTACTCATGCACATAAAATTAGATTAATATTTATTTTTATTTTACGTGCACAAATATTTTCCTTGCATGTATATCTTTAGGTGTACCATGTTACCTGAAGAGGGTACAGTGTGTGTGCTAGCAATCGAACCCAGGTCCTCTGCAAGAGTACTAGCAGTCTGAACTGCTGAGCCATCTCTCCAGTCCAAGTATTATAAGTTTCTTAAAGAGGAAGGGTTATTGGTATAGTTTATTGGAATTGTTGATTTTGGCCGTAGACAAGACCAGATCTCAAATTTTTTTTTTAAAGCTAGCCATCTTTTTATTATATTTTTAAGGAGTGGGGATAAGTGGAGTGAGTGCAACACAGGACATCCTCTTGCATATCAGATTCATGCATTGGAATCTCTATCGTGAAGTTCCATTTTCCCAGCTGCTCTCTGCAGTTACATGGCTTTACCACAGCTCATGAAATTTGTGTTGTTTTCACACTGGTTTGGAGACACTGTCTGCCTGTGTGGCCAGGGCAGCATGAGCTTGCAGCTCCAGTGCAGACCACCACGATGCCAGGACGCATAGTTCTGGAGTCATAAGTAATGATATCCATTCCACACACTCTGCTCATCCTTTTACACATGGGTTAATTCCTTGAAAGTGGAACAAGGGCAAGATAGACGTAACTCCATTCCGTGGTCTTCGCTTGAGGACCATGAGAGAGCATCAGTATTCTTTGTCTAAAGAAGGATGGAGCTCATCTCTCAGGCTGCTGTATGACCCCTTTCCATTAGGAATAGGATTCAAAGACACAGTGGTTGGAAATGCATGTGGGTACTATCGACAAGCTACCCTGCTCCCAGTGATGGGGTTTGTCTCTGAGACAACCAGACAACTAGATCAGAATGGGAAACATGGGGGTCTCCACCATTGCCAGAGCAGTGACTCTGGAATTGTTCTTGTGATGAGGGAGAAGAAGGGTTTCCTAAACGTTATCCTGAAAATATATTTTTCTTGACAGCTTCCACCAGATTTCTGACCTTGAGGCTCTTTCCAGATGAAGACCCAGGACCCACCAACACTTCCTGGAGCTTGCAAGGGCAGAGCCTGCTGAAGGATGAGGTGTTGGACATCTCAGCTCTGCAGAACCTGCCCATTGAGCTCTTCCCATTCCTATTCAAGCGGGCACATTAACATACTGAGAGCAATGGTTCCAGCTTGGTTTTTTCCCTGTCTCCCCTTGCGGGCCCTGATAAATATCCCCCTCCTGGAGACTTTGAAGGCTGTGCTGGATGGAATGGATGTACTGATTATAGAAAAGGTTGGCCCAAGATGAGCAAGACCAGGCTAGAGGATGGAGTCCCCGAAACTTCAGGGAAGGAGCAGCTGGAATCAGGGAGAGTGGAGTCAAAGGAGATCAGACACTTTTGGTAGCATCAGCACAGAGGACAGCAGAGGCCTCAGGAATTCCAGCAAGATGTGGAGAGGACTGATGATCTAGTGGACAGATTAGATGGTTCCAGTCCCAGAGGAAGGGGTCTCCCCTGCTTCCTCTACAGGCACAAGTGGAGTCAGGATGGATTCAAGGGGAGCACAGAGGAAGGAAGGAAGACAGGCTACAGATGCTGCACAAGCAAAGGTATACAAGACTCTGGCTTTGATTCTGGCAGTGAAAAAATATATTTCTAAGATAGCCGAGGAAAGGAAACTGACAGTTGAGATGTGAATATGTTGGGTTTTGTCCTGTCTTCTGGGATTTCTACCTAATTTACTCACAGGAGGAGGAAACTGCACCTGATCTTTGGCGTGTATGGTCTGGAGCTAAACATGTTGGATGCTCACAAGTCATGAATAGTCAGCAAACGGAAGTATGATCCCATAGCTAAGGTGAAGCAACCCTTGAAGGTATTGACTGATTTTGATCCTGTGAGGGACGATCTGAGTGAAGAGGAAAAATGCTTGCTGCAGTGGGCCCAGCAGAGAACAAG